ATGCTATGGAAACTCGTAAACAAAATGGTGTTTATAGTTGAGATGCATAAACACTTCCATTATTTATTTATTTGTTCTTATTTATTTATTCATATTTCTAATAATTCTTTTATTTACGCTTACTTCAAATGGATTGTTATTCCTACCAAATAGATAGAACGCTATTGATCTGAACAATGCATAATTGTATTATTGTAAAGTGTTCACAGAAAATTAATAAATTGTGTTCAGAACGTTATCGTGACCAATATTTTTTACATCATCAAATTTTGATTATCATATGCCAATATTTTATCATGATTGAAATCTATCAACGTTGAACATGTTGCTATTGAAATTCGAAAAAACAAAGAGGTTCGCAAAAATTTGAATAATTTCAAACACATTCCTTATTTTCAATGGCGAATCGTAAACGTTATGAATTTTTGTAACGTATACGATAAAATTTCGACACGTGATGAATAATAATGTGGTGGATTGCATTTCCACTGGATATTGTAGAAGCCTCATGCTTCAAATGTTCTACCGGTTTTAAAATGCGCATTTAATAATAAACGACCTTTCGTGGATTTACGGGTGACTATAAATATGGATTCGATCGTCAAAGCACAAAATCATCGAGCTCACGAATACTTCATGTCTCTCACTGTATGTTCATTTGAACCTCTTCCCTCCGAATCGTCTAATTTATTAAATCGTGGCTCGGGAACACTCTTTATAGTAATCAATTTATTGGGTACAAAAGCCAGAAAACAATCTAATTTCGTTCCGCTGTTAAACAGATTTGTTATTTTCAGTTTCCAGAAGCTTACTACGACAATGCTTTTAACATCGGTTGTTACAGTCGCGCTCGTATTAACGTTTTCTATTTACGGTATCTCAATGAACAACAATGCCGATAATGACAAGCGTTAGTCTATTTTCTTGTTTAACGAAATGTTCGATCGACTTTTAATCGATTGTATCTTCCAAGCGAAAACGAAAGATGCGCGCGAGAAATGGCGAAAGAGAGAAAAAGCGTGTGTTTCTTTGCGTTCGTGCGACACTCAATCCAACATTCCAAAATATGTCCACTAAGACTTTGAATAATGAGAAAGTTTCACTTACTTGATTTGCTTTCGTCTCGTTGCTCGATCGAGGAACTCTTCGGACCGCCGTTTTGGTTTACGTAGCTGCGACCAGATTTTGTGTCATCTGGAAAACAAATCATTTTGTTTGTGTTCACATCAAAATTGTCGTTCATTGCTTGTGGACATTCAAAGAAACGAATTCCAACTATATTATTAGTTTACAATAATACTATTTTCTCGAATAACGACGACTCTGAGGCACCAATAAAATTTTCCATACTGTAATTTCAAACTGTTTCCATTTAATAAATAAATTTAATAAATAAATTACTAAAAATACAACAATGGTATGAGTATGTGTTCATCGTCACATGCAAAAGGAGGTTAAAAATTGAAAAGAAACAGAAATCTTTAATGTCGAATGAAATTTCTTGAGTTTGAATTAAAATGTCTTCGAGTGCAATTTTTGAAATGTCAAAAAACATAGTTGCAAAATTCAGAATATATGTTCCTATCTGAATTCGATCATGTGATATTACAAACTGTAGTAAATTGAAAAACGAATCATAAAATTGTAAATTATTATATGATGCTAGAATATTGTCGAACGTTAGAAATTACGAGATTTGGTGACAAGAATTTAATTTATATTTCAAAGTGGCATCGAACGTAGCAGTGTATCAGAGCAGAACATTCGATAAAATATTTCAATCAAATTATTCAAATGATTAATTTGAAATTTAGTATTACATAATGCATGATTAATGTAGAATATCGAGTAGAAAAAATATAATTAATAATAAACTAAAAATGTAATATAGTTAAATGTGACAAAACAGTTATCAATTACTCTTCTCATATAAGAATTACATAAATCATTGCTAATGCATGAAAACAACAATTATAAACACAAACTAATTTTTATGTGATATTACATAATAACGTTGTAAAATAATAGTATACATATAACATAATAAAATAATTTCTATATATTCTTTCATATTTATTTCACTGTTAATATTTATTCCACCATTCGCTTTCACACTTGCAAACCCCATAAATGCATAATATCTGTAATATACGAGTCTTTAATTTAACTCAATGCTTTAATTTCATGTTTCTTACACATTCGGTATGAAATTTGCCGAATACCTTAATTTCATAATTTAATAAGAATTTATGACGCATTCCTGATTCGAATCTTCGAAAATTATTCCTTAAACCACAGAGTCTGTTCGTGCAGGTTGCTTATAAACTATTCGAAATAATTTGACAGCGTGTAACCAAGTACAATTTCCCCCAATTCTTTTCGAAAGCAATTGAGTAATAAAATCGTTTGAAACGAACCTGATGTGCACGGAAATCACCGAAAATGGCAGTGGGTTCGCGTGACAGTGGCTTGTGAGTTCCGAATGAAATGTCAAAGGGCCACGAATCACCGACATGGCCTCTAGGGTCCATGAATCGCGAGAACGGACTGACGATGAGCGCGAACAGGTCCGCCAGCCGTGAAACACGCTCGGTTCCCCACCCTCGCATCTATTGTTTATGTAATTTCTGAAATTGTCCTTTTGATTTAGCGGGGCCGTCGTTAAACTTGCCGGTATACCTCGCTTAATCAATCGGATCAGCTCAACGTTTACATTAAATTTCCAAACGAGAACTTTATATTTTCATTAATTTACACATTTTAATGAAAAAATATAATTAATATTAATCTATAAAAGTAATCTATAAAAATATAATTCGTAATTAATAATAATGTTGTTCAACAAATTTAATGCAAACAGTTTTCTGAATGTATAATTTTTATTTATTTGTTCTATATGCGCATACAAAATGAAAACAATCTCCTCATTTCAAATGAACATTTGCAATATTTGTTTACTATAGTACGTTCAATATACATATAAATAAATTACATTATTTACATTATTTTTATTATTCTATTTTGTACTATTCCATTGTATTGTCTATGTTATAGAATATCTACAAAAGATAATGAAATAAAAATAAATTTCCTGCAATTATGGTTCTGTGCCTTTAAATATTATCGAATAATTTAAAGTTTACTAACTTCAATAATATTTATATAAGAAGATTAAATTCTTTTTATTAATTCTTCGTGTTCAGACCGTCACTGTTATTTAATAATTCTAGTTAATAATTCGTTACTCTTTTATTCTACCTACGATGTATAAATCAATATTGTCGTGACCCGAGCTCAGTGAGTTTGTTGCATTATACGTCGAGAGAAGTCGAGCAACCCTTTTGAAATCTCGAGAAGCCAAACCTAATTAGAGTGTCGTTCACCTTTCAGCAACAAGGAACAAAGAAATGACAGAAGATCTTTGAACGTCGAGACGTCCAAATGACTTTTTTCTTTTCGCGGCAACTCGTTTATTTTGCATCACTAATTTGAACACATATCTCGCCGTAAATAAGAGATGCATTATTTTTACATAATTATTTCTAATAATAATATTCCGAGACTCGAACAATAAAATCTTTTGTTAATTTAAATTCACAAATATTAATATATTAAAATCGAAATAAGAGTCTATATATGAAGAATTCCAATTCGATTTCCCAGTTCACCATTTAAACTTGAAGTTGACGTCAAAAATTTCGAATATGATTGTTGTATTTTGAATAGAATCTGGAAAACAATTTAAATTCGGAAAATTCCAATTCGATTTACCAGTTCACCGTTTAAACTTGAAGTCGAAGTCGAGTTTATCTTCGGATACAACCGTCAGGTTTTAAATTTGCATTTGCTCGTTCGAATCAATTCGTATATATTCAACTTCTTAGATTTAATTAAAACGATGCTGCTGTCCAAATTTAAATTTCAATATTAAAACTTAAATTTAAATTTAATTTTATATTTAAATTGAATACTATTATTTAATTATAATAT